GCCTGGGTTCCTCAACTATGCAAAAAATTAGAAATGCAACTTTATGGAGTAATAATTTTAAGTACATGTGTAAATTGAGAAGGTTTTCAAATCAGTTGACTCTATCTTTGAAGCAGTGAGAGATATCAGCTTTTATCGATTTGCATTTATCGATGTTATCGATTGTTCAGCCCCGCAATTTTAACAGTATGTCCGACGCAGACATAGACGAATATTTATTCGAAGTTTCAAGTCTCTAATTTCGTTTTTACAGACTAATACGCCCTGCCACCTTTCCCAACAGAGCATAAGAATTAATAAATAAGTGAGCATATTTCATAGAATTGCAATCTTTAAATGCAATGTTTTACTTTGCAGCATTTTGTCTAAGGCTTAATTCAACTCAAAACTCTTCGAGCTGCTTATTTAGTTGGTGTTGTATTAATATTAAAGTAATATTGCTGTTGCCCAGTGGGAAACTTTAGCACCATCTGCACCAAACCCACGCATCACTTTTGCCTTTTGGCATAACAAATCTAATTATAGCGCATACGACACGTATGCCCAGGTATATATATCATATTTATATATATATGTGTATATTCCCTCAGAACAGGTAGCTGCTGCTGTTACAATTATTTATGAGCTTTTGCGCAAATTTCCCAAGTGCCTGATTGCCAACTCTTGAGTCTGTTCGACTTTAAAGAATTGCTGCCCTTTAAACTTTAACATCGAGTACATGCATATTTGATGTGTGTATGTGAGAGAGTACTTACTGTCTGCGTCTTTAGCCTCCAGTTATCCTGTTAGTCCTCTTTTTTTAGCTGCTGACGTCACACAAGGGATGCATTTACATGCGTCTGTAATTCAAATCGAGCTTAGCTCGCAGCACTGATGACCAGGCCGGCAGGTCGCCAACTGTAAAATTGTAATGGTAACCCCAACCTAAGCCCCTGCCCCCTCTTAACCCTTCTCGGTTGAAGCTGTCTGCAAGAGCAGCTGTTGAGGCAAGACTACTTGCCTCACTGCTTTCCCCACCTGTCTGTCAGTTACAAAGCTTTAGTCAAACAGAGCGTTGCCTGCAGTTCATTGTTAAGTTCATATACTCAAAAAAAAAACCGACTTGCATTTCAGAAAATCGCTCGGGAAACTATAAAGTTTTGCTTGCTTTTCGAAATAATTTCGGAATAAAAGAAAAAAATTAGAAAAGATATATTGCTTTTCATATTTTAGAAATATCTTCTAATATTCAACTTTTATTCTTGGAAAGACTACTTTTTAAAATTAAGAAACAATCTCTACTATGTTTCTTTCCGAGTGTACACCGAAATGTTCCCCTCCTAATGCTCAGCCCCGTTAAGCCCCTTGTGAGTGTATCTCTCGCCTTAATTCAGGAGCACCGTCATTGCCAGCTCTCCCTGCCAAGTTCCCTTCGACGATCCGACTAACGAGCCGCTCAATTTAATCAGCTTTTGTGCAGAGAAAGCCACAGAGAGGGAGGAGTGGGGAGGAGTGTTTATTTGGGGTTTATGTGGTTGTAACTCAATGCAGAGAGTACTCAAGAGTACTTATGTTAGCAATATAAGGGTATCTGTTTCGAACTATCAATTGACTGCAGACAATCAATAAATACATAGACACAAATGCGGTGAATAAATAATAACAATTTGGCAAAATGCTACAAACAAATAGTTCAAATATAGTTACAAATATAAATACTGAAGAAAAGTTAAGACTGAAAAATAACTAAATAATTATTAACAAAGAAAAGTCTTTTAACTTATTACATTTGAAATAACCGCCAAATTGTGACCTATTTATATATTTGCATACAGAACTATATATAAAAAATGGAAAAGTTGCCAGAGTCACTTATTGTTACTAACTGGAATCCTTGCCAGAAAATGTGTTAAGTATTTACAATGAATGTTGTGAAACTTAATTCAATTGCACAACGCTTAACATTTGTACGCTTTGTAATTGAATTGGGAATTCATTCAAATGGGATTATAATTTCAATTATATTATAATAGACAATTACATTTAATTGAATTTAGCTAATGGACAGATTTAATGGCTCTTATATCCACTAAAAATGGGAGGAAGGAAATTGTTTTGTTTTGCACAAATATGTAACGGACAGAAGACATCATCTGCGAGCACATAGAGTATATATATTCTTGATCTAGATGAAGAGGATAGTCGATTTAGCCATGCCCATCAGTCTGTCAGTATAAAACAAACATATCTCAAAGACTATAATTATAATTATATTGTATATATTTGATCAATGGTGGACTTTTCAATAAGATCGAATAAGAAAAACAGATTTTGTTAATCAAAAGGAATTGTCATATTGTACATTATACTTTTAGCAACAGCTGTGTACAGGGTATATTCTAGTTAAGCTCTCTCGACTAGAATACTCTAACTTGTTTTCTCATTCATTGCGTCAATTTACGCAATTGATTTCTCTACATAAATATTTTAGCTAAAGACATAATTCATATTCGCTTTGGTCATATTCAACTAAACTGAACAGCATATTTCTGCATGTATATTTATTTACTACATATATATTATATATATTGTATATATACCATAAATATTTATGTATATTTTTACAACTCCTTCGCCCGCTTAACACAGTTCTTTGCCAATTCCAAAAGTTACCTTCGTTTTTTCATGGTCATCCGCAAATCAGAATCGATGGCCAAGAAACGATTTATGTCAGCTCAATGGCTACTGCAACATCAACTTGTCCAAAGTAGGGGGCAAGACGGTGGGTTGGGGGTTGGGGGACGGAGTGTTTTAATCAAATTGAATTGGTCTTAATGCCTGTGGCCAATGCGACTGGCCATAAAGCAAAGTGTGCCACTCCAAATACAACCATTTCATGTATTTGCGCATTAACGTCACATTGTGGCTTCAAGAGAGAGGAGTAGGCGTACGGGGGTTGGGGGTGTGTAACAGGGGGCGGGGCAGGGGCGCACAAACAATGGATCCATTCATAAGGCGCCAAGGTTAAACAGCTAAAAATCATTGAGCAACATCAAAAGAGCCATTGTTTTTTGGCTGTAAGCCAACACACACCACACACACACACACTCAATCACACACACACTGCAAGGCATGCTAAGCCAAAATGAAATGAAGTAAAGTCAAATGAATAGAGTACAGCAACAACAACAAGGAAAAAGGCCAAGACGTTAAGATTTATGCCAATTGCTCTTGGGCACCTTGGCGCACCTTCGACATCCCCTCCACCATCACATTCACAACGCCTCTCCTGCCACACCGAAGCACTTGCAACTCCTGTTTGACTAATGAACTGACGCAGTCTTAAGTCGTAGGAATTCGCCTTCAAGTACACTCAAAAAAATATAAAGGAGCTGAACAGCTGATTTTTTTTTGTTTATTTTTTCGAAAATTATTATTTATTATTTGTATTTATAATTATATTTATTTACATATTTCTCACAATTTTTACAAATCCAAAATGATCTATATTTTTTGCCTGTTGGCAATACTATTCAAACTATTTTCCTAGTGAGTTTATTTAGTAGCACCTGACACTTCTCTCAGTGTACGCCTTCAAGTCTCCGCTGCGGTTTCTTTGCTCATTTTTGGACATTTTCTCGCCCGCTTTCGGCTTTTATTTAGCCATATTCCCGCCCACATCGCCTATCGCCAACGCTTCTATTAAATGAACTGTTATTTTTGCTCATTTCTTTTAGCACTTACCAACACTGCTCCACTGCACTGTGGTCTGCCATTGCCTCTGCGTCTGGCTGTCTGTCTTTCTGTCTGTCTGCCTGGCTGCCAGCTCATTAATTTCGCTTAACTTCACAAATTGCCAATTGTGCGCATTGGTCAACATTTTTTGTGTTGTTCTTTTTTATGTTGCTTTTGTTTTTGTATTTGTTGCTTTTGTCGATTTGTTGGTCTACGTTTGAGTTGTGTGCAGCATTGTTCTCTATGGTTCCGTTGCCCGTATTTATTGCCAGGCCTGCCAATTTGTTTTGTATGCTGCCATTGTTATAAATAACACTGGCGCAAGAGAAAGACACATTTTGGTGTTGGCCTCATGATTTTCTCATTGTTTTTGCGAATTGACTTTTATTATATTTAATTTTTTATACAACACTGACCACTTTTTATATAACACTGACCAAAGGAACTTTAAATTAAATGTGGAATTTTGTTTCGTGTGATTTGAAAGTCTAATCCTTCGCATATATGTTAGTCAAATTTAAAATGTCTTAAATGAATCTTAACTTCCATCTGTAAACTGATTATAACGAACTGATTTTTCTACTAGCTTCTGCTGTAAAATATACCATTTAAATAAGACTCAATACTCTCAACTATAATGGATTTGAGAATAAGTGAAATACCAGTTAAAATAAGCACTCAACTCTCTGTACAAGTTCTTCATTTATAGACAGTGCATAGAAAATTCGTTGTTTTGCTCGAAGCTATTGCTAACTGCTGGCGGTTGTTCCAATTGTTGTGCCGACTGTGAAAACACATGAATTCTTAGTTTATGAAGTTCTGCTGCAATTGACCCGCTACCCATTTTGCTGAATATGCCAACCTCCCCACAGTCAACCCATCCAGCTGTGATACAGACAGACAGACAGACAGAGTTGATGTTGTTTGTCTGGCAAACGTTACCTGAATCTGGGCATTTATGTGCTGCCTACGTTTGTCTGGCCTCGTCTGTGCTGGTCTGGTCTGTGCTGGTCTGTGCTGGTCTGGTCTGTGCTGGTCTGTTGACTACAATAAATATTGTGACAAATAGCCATCACACGGCGAAGCAAATGGGTCTTTTATTTTGTGATGACTTTTATGTGTTGCACATGGCGTATGCGTAATATGTGAATATGTTTGCCTTTGAACAATGCCAGAGTTGGCCACACGACTTTACAGCCTTACCTTACTTTAATGCAATTATTTAACAACAAACCAAACTTGACATTAACCAAACTTCTGTTTTGTTTTTTCTTTGGCTCACACAGGATATCGACAACAATAATTACGCAAGGAATAATCACATTACTGGCACGTTGACGGAACGCAAGGAGAAATTGTTGGGCAGACCGGAAGCTGTGATCGATGCGCGTCGCCAGCTCGAGAAGGACAGGGGTATGGCATACACTCAGCGAAAAATGTGTGACTTTAAGTAATTCTGTTCTCTTGCAGCGCTGGCCAACAAGCATATGGAGGAAATCAGTTGCGATAAATCATGCCTCCTGCCACAGAAACGTTATGTGTCTGTAGCCAGCGATCCCTCCAAGATCTACACCCCCCACTGCACCAGTGTTTACCGTTGCGCGGAGGACTCAGGCTGCTGCGCCAGACGCACGGAGATCTGTGCCCCAAAACGAAGCCACAAATTCGAGAGACGCGTTCATGTGAGTTCAAAAGTTGAATACGTTTTAAAGTTGCTAGAGTCGAGTTAGCCTTGAACTTTAGAAAATTGCCTTGCAGACATAGGTTTGTAGTTATCGATAAAATGAAATAAGCTTAAACTGCCTGAGGTATACGAGAACACTTACTCAGAATTTTAAGTCATAAGTCCTGAAGTCTTAGACTGGCCAAAATGGCTAAATCGTCTTGACTGTTGATGCTAATCAAAAGTATTTATATCTTATGTGTTCGCTTATAATTTATTTATATAAATATATTATGCCCCTTTGCCCAGTTTCAATGGGTTCACTTTATAATTACACACAACTTCCACATGCAATATTCAATGCATATCCGCTCATTTCTGTCACTGCCTACACGAAAATTTTTGTTAAATTGCTAATTAAAAGAAAATTGAGCGAGGTATGAAAATGTTTTGGGCTACACACCTTGAAAATTGTAATAGATAAGTTACACACACACAATGCATAATTACATTCTCGATTTCAACATATTGAATGCTCGTTACACAAAAGACAAAGGCAGCAACGACAACAACTGGCAACAATATCATGTGGCATAAATCAGCAACAAATTGAATTATCATTGCGTCATTAAAAACTCATTTTGGGGAGCGCACAAGCGCAAAAAAATAAACAGAAAAATGTGTTTGTACAAGAGAAAAAGGTGAAACGATATAATTATGTTGCAATATGGCGCCCTCAAGCATGACCTGTGACCCCCTTCCCCTGCCAAACGACAACAATCAGAGCAATTACAGCAACAGCAACAACAAAACGTGGGTGGCTGCCACAAAGAGTCGACGCGACAAGCGTGTGGCACCGACTCTTGACAAATGGTAACAACTTTTCAAGTATTATATATTACGAGCATGCATGCCTATAAATAAATATACATGTTTGTGCTCATGGAGGAGTTCCTCAATTTTGGTATTGTTGTTGTTGGCCGAGCGCAACGATAGGAAATTAAAAATCAAGTAATAATGAAAAGGGCAACGTGTGCAATGAGTATTGAATAATTATAATAGTGGTAGTTGCCATTCACTCATCTATTCACACCCACACCTCGATATTCACATTGTCCAACTTTTCATCACATTGGTTAGCCACACAACTAAAACTTTAATGAAAAGCAATCTAGTCGAGACTTTTTGGCTGGGCGACTGGAATAACATTGTCAACATGATCTGTTTCCTCGACCGATTTAATTAGAGAAGAGAATTAGAGAGATTAGATTAGAAAATGTTTTTTTTTTGCTTGCAATCATTTTGTTGAAAAGGTAAAGTTTTTCATTAGGAAAACCTCTAACGTCAAGGTTTGATTTCTTGATTGACTGAGCATTTAAATGAACAGGTCAAAATTAGTCTCACTCTTCGTTCGATGTGCAAGTTAAAAGTTTGCTTTATTTAGTCGCAGATTAAATTTTCCTTTTCATAGTCAAGATTTGAATTTAAATTTACAATCTTATTTCCCTATTTTCTATTAAAGAATAGCTCTATTGTCACTGCTTGATCTCTAAAATAATGCAGCATTTCAGTTTGCTCATGTGAATAAATTTAAAAATGTGTTCCCTCCATAACTTTGTCACAATTAAAATGTTTTTCAATTATAGAATAACTGTTTGTTAATAGTTTGAAGATTCTATCAACTGAAATACTAATAAAACTTTAGTCCAGTTGAGTTCATTTCCTTTGGGGCAAAGTGCATCAATTAACACCTTGTACACGACTCACATGAGAGATCTAGCAAAAAGTGTTTGCAACAAACTGAATAATTGAGTTTGACACAAGTTGGCCAGAACTACATGTAAGCCAAGTTAACCCCCAAGTGTTTCATATAACAAATTAGTCGAGCACTGGGCCAGGTTCTGTGCACTTAACTGCCTCTGCCTCTGCAACCCCCTCCCTCCCCAGCACCCCACCATCCTATGACAACTGTCGAATGTGCCCCAAATGAGTGTTGAACAATTTTTGAAAATCTGCAACTGGCATCGCTTCTTTATTTTTTTGTTGTTGTCGGCATCTGAAAGTTGACGCTGAAAGTTCTGTGTCAGTTGCATCCGCTGCAACATTCCCATTGCTCATAACACGCAAGCCAAAGTTAACAACTGGGCTTTGGAGAGCTACCCCTACTGTAAATTTACTTGTATACACTGAGAGAAAAATATACTCTAATTTAATTGGAGAAAGAGAAAAGTTCTCCAATCTGTAAAATCTGTATACATATTCTGGATCAGTACAAACAACTCAGTCGATCTCTTCATTTTGAGTTCATATCAATTCTTGCCTATTTATATTCCTATTTATATTTTCTTTATTCATATTCTATTTTCTTCTGAGCGTATGGCACGCATTCGTTTTATTATTTTTACATTGCTAATATTGATTATTTGTGATTTTTCCAAAAATTAGCTGAAGTTTATTGTCTGATTCCAAAAAAACAATTTTATTTATACTTTATTTATTTATAAAAAATACTAAAAGTAAGAAATTAGAAATATTTTCCTAAATTTACTAGCATTTTTCTTCAGATTCGGATGTTATCTAAGATCCTAGTCTCATATTTTTCTGCGAGTGTAACTTCTGGCACTCCATTTGCTGCTACCTGTTTACGTGTCGGCAATTTGGAATTTGCTGGCTGCTTGGGAATTTCGACTGGCGAAATTGCATTACGGAGCGGATGTGTCACGAACTGGCAACAGCTGCCATACCAGCACCCCTTACACACACCCACACACACACACAGAGACACACAGAGACACACACACAGAGAGAGATACACGCATATAGTTTAATAAGCAATATTAATGCTTGCTGGTCTGCAAGCTGATTATGCATGACGATGCCTGCCAGCAGTGCAGTGAATCGTGCCACATTTTGTGGCAAATTAATTAAACGTTCGACGAAAAGGACAACAACAACGGACAGTGGACGGACAACGGATAACGGGCGAGTCTTGTGCCTGTCAGCCAATTGACTTTTACTTTGCATGTTTTGTTCAGGTGGGCGAGAAACTGTCTTCCATCTCTCTTCCCCCCCCCCCCCCCCTCTCTCTCTCTCTCTCTCTCTCTCTTTTTCTGTCTGGACCCCAATTGAAGCTGCTCTTTTTTGTGTTGGCGTTTGGCTTTCACGTTCAGCTTTTCTAGTCGCGACTTCTTCGGGTGAAAGTAATCACAACTATACACCCCCCTCTCTCTCTCTCGCTCTCTCTTTCTCCTGCTCCTCCTCTCCCCCTCTCTACCTCTCTCCGTGTCTCCCTGTCTGTCGCTGTGTTGTGGGTGCATTGAACCCAGAACTCAGGCAATGGCGTCATAAATCTCGCTCCGCTTATAACATGTGCCTGGGTCTCGGCTTCGGCTTCGGCTGCGGCCTGCCAGTTTTGTGTAGTCTCCAGAGCGCCGAGGTCATTGAGCTCTCTTTCTGCACCGGCTAACAATGCAGAGTGCATATATACATATAACCCCTTCACCTCCCTCGCTTCCTCCCCCACTCCCCCACTATGCCGCCCCTTTCCCCGCCTGTTCCCCTTGTAAGTCTCGCACATCTACCTACGAAAAATTTGCGCAACATAAATTATGTTTTGTAAGAATGTAATTTTTTTTCGTTCTTGCTGCTGCCGGGTTGCAACTCTGTCAGGCTCTTGTCCACTTCCCCTCTCCCCACTCGCTCTCTGACTCCTGCTTGCTCCTGGCTGCAAGGGTTCTCAAGCTCTCTGTTTGTTCTGGCACTTGACACCTCTCCCAATGACAGCCGCTGAGCTGCGCTGTGCTGCGTTGTGTTGTGGCTTGTATGTTTAAACTTTGGCAGACACAACTCCTTGCCCCACGCCTACTTGCAACACCTGCTTCTGGCCACACATATTTTTAGTGCTTTATGAAGACATCCAGCATAAGGGAGTTCGTGTTTTATTCTCTTTTTCCTACATTTTTTTGGTTTATTTAAACTGACAACAAACATTTTCGCACACTTTCAACGTTTTTTGGGTCCCAACATAGAATATAATTTCTGACAGCGAGTTATCCTATTATTAATTTTATATTTTCTTGGGACGTTTCTAGTAGTTTTTGTAATTCTTTAAAATTTGAACTGCCGCAATTCTAAGCTCGACTATTAAACATATCCAGATGATATGATTCATGATTCTCTAAAAAAAATTGTATTTAATATTAATAAATTAGAAGTCTTTAGTCTGGATAGCTCAACTAGGGGATACCCTGCATGCAGCTCTTAAATACAGGGAGTTTGTTTAATACGAAAATATATTTTGCTTAGCAAAAATGATAATTATGTGCAAAATTAAAGCAATTTGTACATCAAACATTTATAAAATGATTGTGATTAACAAAAATCGTAATGAAAAGATCAAGGATACGTATGAGATGCTTTCCTCTCACTGTTACATAAGTTTAGAAAAATTCAATTTCCATTTCTCATCCCATTTACAGCATACAAAATTCGACTTGGCAAAACTGGAAACTTTTTTGCTGCCAAGTTGCCGCCTTAAAATTGTTAAAATATTCGCTAGACTTTCGTGGAAGCCTTCGCCTTGGCATAATTTCTGTGGTTTTTGCCTAACTTTAATTGGATAATTAAGGGCTGCTCTGCCAAGTGTGTGAGTGGGCGTTTAGTGGGCGTGCCGTTTCTTGTGGGTTATTCCCTTTTTTGTTGCCCATCAGCAACTCTGCTGCGAGTGTGTTAAAAACTTTATTTGCTGTCAGCAAAGCGCACCATAAATATATTTAAATTGAAAGCACTTTTGTAGGTGAAGGAATGGAAAGGCGGGCAAAGGAATTGTGCCTGCTTATCTGTGGCTCCATTAAAGTGTGGCAAGCACTCGTAATTATAAGCAAAGCAAATCTCTTTGAAAATGGAATTGTGTTATGAAAGCACATCAGTTGAAGTTCTATAAAAATGCATTTGAGTGAGAAATGAAAATTGTACAAATTCTAATAATATGAAAACTGATTTTCATTTGCAAAGCAAATACAAAGTTTATTTAAATGTGCATAATATTTTGTTTGCTTCAATCTGAGCTCTTTATTTAATCATTCCTTTCCTCCTTTTTGTCCACATTTGAGTAAAATTCTAATTTTATATATTTATTACACTCTGATGAAAATCGGTCAACTGACCTAATTATTTTGAAAGCCCAACGATTTAATTTTCATAATTCTAATGTAGAATTTTCTAAAAATTTAGAAAAAATATGTATAAATTCCGCAATGAATTTGTGCATTGTTATTTTATGATATAATTTAAAAGAAAAAAGTGTGCTAATTTTAATACTCATTCCCCTTTTAAATACAAATTTTTATTTCTATTTTAAGTATTTGTGTTTTTATTAAGAGAAAGCAATATATAAAAAAGTCATCAGTGGATTTTTTCTGAGTGTACCCACAATTTCCTTTTATTCTGTTTGCATTTTTAACACCTTCATATGAACTATGTGTGATTTATACAAAAATAAGCTAAGGATTCTTGTGCAATTCCTAAAGCATTTTTCTCTGGTATTTTTCCTTGATGCCCCGCTTGCCCTTTGGCCCCTTCAGGACAACATCTCTATTATTTTGTAGCACAGAATCTGGCACTGTCAAGTGGTATAAATGACATAAATGCCTCGCTCACAATACTCTATATATAATTGTACAACATTTTATATGCTTGGCTTGAGTCCTTGCCTTGGGTCCTTGTGTAGTCTCTCGAGTGCCATACAGTTCGTCTCCCTCTGCAGAAGCAATAACTGACTAATTGCTTGAGTCTTAAGTGCACACTTCTTGCACACACAACAAGCACACACAACACACACACACAACAAACACACGCAACACACACACGCAAACACAACACACTTTTGCATAAATGCAGCAAGCTATGCTCAATTAGGGGCAGGGTCTAAAGTAACGCCATCTTGAAAAACTAAACTAAACTAAACCAACCCCCACCCCATCCCACCCCACACACACGCCAGCACACACACAGCAAACTATTTAGATGTATTTATGGCTTGGCATATATATCATGTTCAGAATATGACGCTCGAGCATTTTACGGCAATTTTCGATGCGGTTGCAACAACAGCAACAAAAACTTTCCAACAACAAACAACTAGAAAGCAACAACAACTACAGCTAGAATGTTGAAAGCAGCACTTTGCACTTCCGTTTCCGGCAATTATAGTGCAGGTCTTCAAGCAAGCTCAGCAAGCTCAGCAAGCATTTCTTTCCTTTTGCCACAGCGCAATTTTCTTGAATTTTATGTGTAACACACACTTTTACACACACACGTACACACGCAAAAGTGGGCGTTGAGCGACATGTTTGAGCTTGAACAACTTTTTCAATTCGTTGCATTTTGAAAAATTTGCATAAACATTTCCCGTGCCAACACCTCAAAAAAAGAAAAGGAAAATAATGCTTAAGCTGAATTTTCAGTTTTCATATGTCTTAAAAGTTTAACAATTGTTTTCCTTTTTTATCGCTTGACAGTTTTCTGCGTTTTTGCGTCCAATCAAAATGCGATGCTTCAGCAGAGAACACATCTTCCCCCATTTTGCCTTATATAATTTGGCTGCTTGATTTGAGACCAGCTGAAACAGCTAAAGCAACATCTACAGTTACAGCTACAGCTACAGCTACAGCTACAGTTACAGCTATTTACTTAGCTTGATTAATAGACGGGCTTGTAATTTTAATTAAACGAATCCCGCTTAATTTATGCAATTCATATAGCATTTCATCATTTTGCACTTGTCATGCAACACAAACTCGCCTCAACTCAAACTCAACTTAGACTACAACATTTCGCAATAAGCGAAACAGAAGCAGTTGAAGTTGTCCGCTAATGGTTAATGCCAGTGGCTTAGTGAAAACCAATTGACGAGGATACGAAAATTATAATTGATATTCGATTTTTATTTCATTTAAGTTTACTCTTTTAAATAAGTTATGAATACTTAGCTCAAGGGAAAACGTTCTAGAAAACGTTGTTCAGAGAGATATTAAAAACGTAGTTCATTTCATTATTTGAAGCGGGGTTGAAATCTGTGATTGATATTGGATTTCTATTGCATGTAGAATCTTTCTGTGTTCTATTTTGTATCTTACTCTGCCCAAGCCCGATAATCGTCAGCTTAAGTTGAACATATCTCTTATAATCTTTTTTCACATCACGATTGATTGATACAAGGGTAGTGTCATATTTATTTGCTACTCGGTTCCGTAATGGCACTATATAATACTATATACTACAATATTATATATATAATATCGTTTCCTATAACTGGCTTTTAATAATATGTTGAATACGTTTCCGGCTCTGAATTTCAATTGGTAAATTCTGATTCACTTTCCAGTTTATCTTTTTGATTTAAAACCAATTGCCTTCATTGAAGCAAATACAAACAAAATCTATCCAAGTTCAAGTCCTTGATTTTATATAGACTAAGCCCCAGCTAAACCAACCCCAGTCAAAGCAAATCCCCTTGAAGTCTGTGCTGACAACGCCCGTTTCAGTTACAAATAGCAAAACTGACAGCTGACAACTCATTTAGCATTACAAGAGCTATGGCAATCAGAATAACAATGACGACAACTTTGATGAGCAGTCAGCTTAAGGAGAAGTCAGCACACAGTCAACACACACGCCACACACACACCACACACACAATGTTGAACCCAATGGAACTTTGGCATAACAATTTCCATATGCAAATTGCGCTGGCATAATTAACTCGGTCAGCTTGTCATCGAGACAGCGTGTGTGTGTTTGTTTGTGTGTGTGTGTGTGTGTGTTTGTGTGTGTGTGTGTGTTTGTGTGTGTGTGTGTGTGTGTGTTTGTGTATGTGCGTGTGAATCTATGTGAGTCTTTTACAAAGCACTTGCATATTAAGAGCCAATTAAATGGGGAAGCTGAGCAAACACAAAACCTGCCCAATCCACATCGACTTTAACACTTGACTTCCCCTCTTCTCGCTGTTTCCCCGCCACAGGTGAAGGGACCCAAGGACAGACATTCCACAGTGGAGACATTGATCCTTGTCAATCACACTGAATGCCACTGCATCGAGCGAAGCAACTACTATGCCGAGGGAGTGTTGCAATCCAATAATCCGGGCCTGCTGCAACGTGCCACAATTTTGAACTGCAATTGCCCGGCGCCCTTCGAGAAGATCCTCCAGGATAATGACCAGTGTCGCTGCGACTGCTCCTCGGGCAACGATGGCTGCGAATTCCTCAAGAGCGGACGCGAACACTTCTCCATGAAAAATCGCAAGTAAGTCCAGAACTTAACTATTGGCAATAAGTTGTAATATTGCCTGGCAAATTAAAGATTGATGTTTTAAGATTTGGCTATCATAAATATAATTTACTTGAAATATCTTACTAATTTTATTACTTCTTTCTGAATTTGAGAAAGTGTTCTTTTCCAAAATAAAAAATCAGAAAACGTTTAATAATCGTATTCATTTTAAATTTATATTTTTATAGTTGATCAATAGCAGGCAAAATTATATATCAATTGGAAGTCTATCTCGAGAATGTTGTCTTTTATTGCTGACGTTATTCGATTTGGATTATATTCCAAAATCGAAGTCTACAAATTCTAATAGTCTCTGAGATCGGCTTGTTTCCACATTATCATCATTGACATAACAATATCACAAAAGATATACTCAAAAACTAATTCTTAATTATCTGATTTGTAATTTCTAATACAGATGCATACAACATGGTCACTGCAAGCCGCCCACCTGTCAGTATGGGGAGTATATGAAGAAGCATGGACGTTGCCCCAATCAGCAGGAGCAGCTGCCCCAACACCAGCAGTTGAGCTACAATACTTTGTCGTAAATGAAGTATACGCCGGATAGAACCGAACGGGAAGCGGAACTTAAGTATTAGTCTAAGAGCTGTTTGACAAGAAGTGGAATCAGACAAGAGAAACGAGTTCGAAGCTCGAATTCGTTTCAGCTGCCTGGCGATTGAGTAAAGAAAAAGAAAGAGATAGAGAAAGGGGAAGGGGAAGAGAGAGGTGAATTTAGTTGCATATCCTATCCGAATACGAGAAACATATATCCGCTGATCGAAATTAGTTAATCAATTAGCTAACACACATTTTTTGCCCTTAACAGATCATCTTAAATAGCTGTAAAAAATACACAACAAAAATAAATAAAACGACTTTTAAATTAGTATTGTTCATTGCAGTTCAAATAAAGAGTTCCACTTTGGCAAGCCGAAGATGTAATACCCTTACTAAATGTATTATTCATCGAATATAAAGTAGTCCGATCCAGTCGCATACATATATATTTATCCAGCTGAGAGATTGCTTAACGAACAGAAATGTTTCATAGATCAGATATATATATATATACACACATATATACTTAATGGCATCGAATATATTTCCATCCAGGCGTTACACAGTTGTAATACCCACTGTAAGGGTATCCAAACGAATGCATATTATTATAATACTAAAGAAAAAACAAACAAACAAACTCAATAAGTCTATAAAATTGTATGTAAGCAAAAATATTCCAAAATATAAATTGACTGCGTTTTAGTTTAAACTTACTAATGTTATGTTATTTAATTATAAAAAAACAAAACACAAAAGAAAACAAACATTATATTATTAGCAATTTTAAACATACTATATACACATAAAAAAAAAACGGAAAAATTATCACTCAAAAACCCAAAACTCAAAACTGCTCAGAACTCAACAGAAAAGAAGCATTTTGTATTAACGAAATGCCAAATAAATACTGACAGAAAGCAGAAAGTTAAGCATTTCGTATTAATTAAATACTAACTCTTATACATTATACATAAAATATTTTTAATTTCTAGTCAAAGTTTTTTGTACATGATTTGTCTCAATTCCTTCGAGTTGGCCAAGGAAAACAAAAAAAAAACATCTTTGGTCAGCAAAAAGGGGCATTTAAATAAATCTTTATATATATATAGAAGGAACTACCATATAAACAAATAAAATACTTACATATATCGAACTGCCCTTACTGTCATTCTACATCACTCTGCAAGGAAAAGAAAACCAAAACATTAAAATATATATTACAAATTTGATATTAATTCAAATGCCATTAAACATAACACAAACAAAAACCCACCAACAACAAAAACAGCAACAGCAACAAAGACAACAAATTTGAATTCGGGTTGAAATTGATGGATTTTTTGCATTTTTATCGTATATAGGTTTTAATTCTTAATTTTAGTTTCAGTTTTAACGACGCGTTTGTCCCCTAATTAATTCTGCTCGAAATTGAGTTGTGAAAATTGAAACAATTGGCAATAACATGCAAAAGCAATTTATGTTTTAGATATACTTAAAATAGTGATTAAATTGTAAATGATTTCGTATATTAAGTTAATTCGCACACAAATCTAAGCAATAAATCAAATCAATAATCGAGTCCGAGTTTAATCGAATCACAGTCAACAAATCAAGCAATGTTGAATTTCGATTCTTTAATCGTTTAATTTAGATTAACGGAACCTGGTTACATTTCCAGTCCAGTTCCGCTTTGATTCCCTGCTTAAAACACTTTATTCACACTCATTTAATCCTAATGCATTTTAACAAAAATCAAAATACAACATTATAAATTCATTGAAAAATCAATCAAATTTACGGTCAAAACAATTAGCCATTGATTTTATTTGCCATCATTTATTAGCAATTTATTAATATTTATTCAACACACACAAACAAACTGGCACTTAAATGAGCAATTTGACAAACACATAAATATTGCAAATTGTTCGTATTGTTTATAAATGTTATAATAGAGAATATATTCGACGCAGAAAGAAACGAAAACTAAAACAAAAACAAGAAACAAATACGAAAACAAAAACCAAACATTTCAAAATGATTTTATTTCTAACTTTAGCATAAATTTTAAATGTATTGTATAATAAAAAACAAAAAACACTGATAAATGAATGCAAAACAAGAACAAGAACAAAAACAAAAACATTTGAGAGCATCGAGTAAACCCTACTTATAAATAATTGAACAAATTATAATTACTATGCGAAAATCCAAATAAATATGATGAAAATAAAATACAAAAAAAAAAAAACAATCTTAATTTTATTTTATTATTTTTATTACAGAGCTGTTAAATAAATACCCAAAAATAACAACACCATTCATATAGAAAGTAATGGAATGGAACGCAATAAATATTTTATAGAGGTTATAACTTTAACATGAGCATCGAGTCAGAATATTTATAGGTCAAAATATGAATAAGAAGCCCCGTTTTTCGAAAATCGATTCAATTTTGATAAGTTGTAGCTGCAGAATAATTTGATGTTGAAAGTCGTGCTAGAATCACGTTTCCAATTTTATATGTGGTATTAAACAGGAAGATAAAAACTGGCTTAAAATTTGTGAGCCATTCCTTTGAAGTTTTAAGGGAAAGCTAACAGTTTACATGGAAATCGTGTCAAAATCGCATTTTCAACTTTGAATGAAGTATTATTCTAGAGGCCCAAATATGACTAAGAAACCCTGGTTTTTGAAAATCTCTGGCAAAGTTATTATATATTGAAAATTTAGACCCATCCTTAAATGAGAGTATGGGAGTAACGCTCTTAAGCATGAATATCGAGTTAGTTCTGTTGAAAGTTTAAACCCGTCTCCCCACATAATCTTTTCAAGAGATAATTGTTTGTAATTATCCACGCCAAATATCTAATAATAATACTATTAATAATAATAACAATTAACATAATAACAACAATAATAATAATAATAATAAATAATTTCAAATATGTCGTTATCGATTTTCAGTTTCAGTTGGCAAGCACCGCCTGTCGTCCAGTGTGTGGAGCACAGAACAAACACTATTAAGTATACGATTATCTCTACGATTAATGCTTTCTCTCACTCACTCTCTTTATCTCTGTCTCTGTCTCTGTCTTTATCTCTGTCTATCTCTGGTTTGCTCGGAGCTAATGCTTATTATGATGGCTGAGTTCCTGGAAGAACTTCTAATGAAAATGCATAACAAATCGCATAGCTGTTAACCCATTTTCGCACACACTGCCGCAAGGCGGAAAACAACACACGCAGCTCACGTAGTGGCCACCAGTACACACACACACACACACACACACACACACAAGCGATGTGGTTTGAGGATTATGATCTAAAATTTATAGAATTTATAAACAGGCGGCGTAAGCCAAAAGGGTTAACGATGATGTTGGCGCCCCCTGGCAGCCAAGAGGCCACGGCAACCAACAACATCCAGTTAACTGTGCAATTAGAGAGTGATAGAGAGAGACAGAAGAGAGAGAGAGAGAGAGAGAGAGAGAGAGCGAAAGAGAAAGAGAGAGTCAATGAAAACAATTAAAGTCGCAATGGAGAAATGCTTGAGTTCTCTGGCGAAATCCATTCGATTTTCGTATGCGAAATCACGCGAAAACCCAAAACAGCAGCAGCAAGGGGCGTTAAGTGGGCGTGGCAACAGGATCAATGCACAAATTAAAACCGCACACGCACACACAAAGAGAGAGAGCGAGAGAGAGAAAGAGAGACAGAGAAATGCAGGCAGTAAAACTGCACAAGCTGCAGCAAACAGCAAGTGGGCGTGGCATGGGCGGGGGCATCAATGATGTTTGCCCACGATATGCCTGCATAATTAATTCCCCTGCACGCCCACAAACAGAGGTCCAGTGGCGAAGGGGGCACGCGAAGGTGCAGGGGGATGGGCGATGTGTGTGGCTGAATTACAGGTAGCAGCTGAAATGCCGACAAACAGCAAAATGCCGCAGCGTTTAAATTGAAACTCACACACGCACACACACACACGCACACACACACAGAGGAAGACAGAAATTTCCATGGAGCAACAGAGCTCGCCTCTTTTCTCCCACTTGTCCCCCTTTCCACGAGGCTGGCACTCAATTTCCTGTTGGCAACTTTTTGTATACACTTTGTGCGGCTTTTTGGTTGCATATATTTTCTTTCTTATCAGCAAGAAATCTATGCGGCACAAATTCAACAGTTCAACAAGGCTATAATTTTTATATGGAAATCGAGCCCAAAATTGCTTTTCCACTTTAGGTCTAGTATGGAACTACAGCTTAAAGCAGATTTTTTGTAACTTTGTTTTTTGTCTGTCATTTTGTTGAAAACATTAGAAAACTTTCGAGCTGGAATCGGATTCCGAACTTTTGACAAGAGGTCAGCCTTACACTAATTAGACATAGTTTTTGAAAATTGGTTCAGTTTTACAAGAAATCTTTAAATCATTCCTTAACAATGCTTTAGCTTTTATAAGTTTTGCCCCATTCTAACAGATAATCTTACAAATTATAATTTACTCAAATTTTAAGCATACTGCATAAAATAAGAGTATTTTCAGTTCGTTTAAGATGCTTTGCTGCATATATTTTTTGTCTGCCATTGTTTGCAATTACAATGTTGGATTTTTATGAGTCTCCTGTGTGTGTCTGCGACTGTGTGTGTGGGTGCGCGAGTGTGCGAGTGTCTGTGTGGGTGTGCGTGCTAATTTTGGTTTTTGCTTACGTTTGGCAAACGCACATAGCAAACATTTATACGGAATTAAGCATTAACACAATTTGCGAAAACGATTTGCATTTATGGGCGCCAATTTTTAATTGCATGCCACATATCCAAATGCAAATCTAAAAACGAAAATGCAACTAATTGCAACAACAACAAATGCAACATTTAAATTGTCCGCTTTTACGCGACATTGTGCAGGCTGTTATTATGTTACACAACTATCCCGATTTAAATTCGTGCTGATTTAAAATTGAGTTTTTCTCGTATAAATAGATTTGAATTATGCTCTTAAATTGCATTATACTGAAGAATAAAAATATTTTTAGAATTAAGCGCAAATTTCAATAAAATGAATAAACGAAATATTTTCCATCTTAAGAAAAGAAGAGAAGAAAAAATTCGTTAGAATTAAATACAGATTCTGTTAAAAATAAATAATTGTGACTACTTTAACTCCAATATATGAATAAGAAAGAGAAAAAAATCCTTGAAATTCAATAGATATTTCAATAAAAGTAAATAATACCAAATACTTAAAATAAAGAGAAGAAATCTTTAGTAAATTCTAACTGATTCCACGGAAAATAAATAGTTGTAACTATAAATAGAGAATTAACACCGATTTCTGTAAAAATAAATAATACCAAATACTTTCCACTTCTAAATAAAGAAAAAAGAGTAGAAAAATATCTTTTAAAATTGATAATTTAACTCAAAACTCTCCCATAAGAAACAAATTAATATAAAATAGATATTTAAATAAAGTGAACCAATTATTCGATGCTAAAACGGTTCGTGTCTCAGCTATTTCTATTGTCACCGAGTAAAAAAACAAAAAGAAAGCAAAAAAAACTATATTGCATACTTTTTGAGGCATGCCCCACAATTCTTATATAATGGATGAGTTAACAACGGCGTACGTTGCATGCCACAGATAGAAAATCACACGTTCTGTTTATTTTTTCCTTCCTAAAAGCACCTTTCAACCAAAGAAGAGGAAGAAGAAGCAGCGAGCAGTGTAAAAATGTTGTTTGTCCACATTCAGAGCGACCTTGACTTGTGATGGAATGGGATGGGATGGGATGGGATAATGTGGGAATGTGGGAATGTTAAGTGGAAGATCGTGCCGGGTACGACACTGACCTTTAGACTCCACAACAGCCAGGCACGCACTACAGTTGCCCCAACTCCCCCACCCCTTAACCCTCCCCTCTTCTATTGTTGAAACATTCGCGATTATCCTCGGTCTTGGATAAAAGGGAACCCAACCCAGGCCCAAATGCCTTTGTCCCATTGATATATGATATGGTTATGCGGGTCCTCCTGTGCCACACCACACACCAGCCCCTGCCCCAAACCCCAGCCCCATCCGCAAAAGGCAGCAGCTAATAAAAAATATTTACACATGCGCGCTTTTTGTGCGTGTGCAGAGATGTAGATACAAATGTATCTTGATGTGAACAGCGATGAACTCCTCGGCTCTCCTCCCGTGGGAGAACTCATCGAGCTTGTTGTCGACGTGGTTAAGGTTCAGCTGGAGCTGGAACTTAGGGTTGAAGCAAAATTGGATTAAGCGAGAAATATTTACAGTCTCGGAAAAATTAGAGAAATTTGTTGTGATTTTAAAGATATAAGCCAGAAATTAATAAAGGTTCCTCAGCCTGAATGAGGGAGCTCCGAAGAAAGAGATATTTAATTGTTGTTTAATTCATAAATTTCAATTTCAACAAGCTCCTTCTATCCAATTAATTTCCTTTAAGCAACTGTGATTTCCAGCCTTTAAAATATTGTTATTCTACTTATTAATATATAAAGATAAAAACAAAACAAAGTCTCTCTACACATGCAACTGAAGTTTACACCGCTAAAAATGTATTATTAAATAATTTATCACTTTTAAAAATGCGCAAAATCGTATAAATATTAATTGACGTTGACCAGGCACAGCTAACACATAAAATACAATTATTTTCCACTTGCAACAGACAACCGCAATAATAATTGAAAGTGATTAAAGTTGACCAGATGCGATTAAGAATCGAATATGCATAAATACAGTGCTTACCTGAGACCAGTTCTGTTCAGTTGAGTTCTTTTCAGTTGAGTTCTGTTCGGCTGAGTTCAATTATCTTGTGAGCCCCATTTAGCCCACATTTGGGGTTAACCGTAACGTAACGTTCAAGCCATTAAAAATCCTTTTACACACGCACACACATACATTGTTTGTGATAGCCTATGTTTTAGCTATGCGAAATGTGTGTGTGCCCACAAAGGAACGAGGCAAAGCAAATCGGGCCAAAAACAAACCCACAATTGCAAACCAAACAGACGCCGTTCAACAACAACAACAACTGAAACAACAACCAGCAACAACCATCCAAGAGTTGCTGCTGTGCGAAGCGTGTGCTAATCTTATTTTTATGGTCTCGACGGACTTGGACTTGTTTTTTTGGCGGCTCACATCATGTCAGCCAGCAAGTGCCGAGTGTGTGTGCGTGTGATGTGTGTGTGTCTCATGTGTGTGTGTGGTTGCATTTGAGCTAAGTTAAGTTATTGGCAATGTGTTTGTTGGCGCTCGCTTGTTTGCATATTAGTCACAACGCACGCAAAAAGCCACAACAGCAACAAGGCGCGAGCTGAGAACGATGTGGGGAAGAGTAATCGACTAGCAGTTACCCTGTAAGACAGTAGAGAGGTAATTGAGGTTCCCATTTAACTTTTGTCTTTACAAACACAGTTAGCCATCCTTAATGTATGGAACAACTTTCCGCCTACCTAATATCTCATTGAGCTGATCAATATGATATAAGAAACAAGTTAGAGTGCTCGAGTTGAGACAGCTTAACTAGAACATACCCTGTAGTTATCTGTTAAAGACATAATAGACTCTCCTATTGTAGTTTGTTCAATATGAAAATATAAAAAAAACATAGATTTTTAGAATCTGTGTTTCTTATTAAATCTTAATCAAATTTTTTAAATTGATTAATAATTTATCTTTCGATATGTGGGATCAGCTATCGATCAAATGTAATAAAGCTGATCTGTAGGCCTTGTAGACTCTGAGGTCGTCCTTTTCAAACAGACGAACATGGCTAAATCAATTCGCCTTGTTGATGCTGATCAAGAATATATACACATGGTGGGATCTAAGATGCTTTCTTCTGATTCTTATGTATATACTATATCTACATAAGTGTACTACTTCACATACTTCTTCAAGAAGACATCTTGCTGCTCACCAAAATGCCCCTTCCTTGATCAATTTTCAATTCGTACAGGGTATGGCGGTGACGACTCCATGTAGCAGGTCTGCAGCCGCAGAGTATAACCACAAGAGAGAGAGAGAGGAGTAGGGAGTCAGGGGAGAGTTTTACGGGGTGTAGGATAGAACAACAGACACTAAATTGAGTATTAAACGAAAGAAATGATGTCGAGGCTGCACATCTGAGGCTATTAGAATTAATCAAAAGGATTTGTTAGTGCTTTGCGACCGCAGGCGGTTCAAGTAATGGAGAGCAGCCTGTACTGGCAAAGTAAAAGGGAGGGGCGGGGGGAAGAGAGAGGAGTGAAAAGGGGCTTAGCAATTCGCATAGAAGAGGAACTGTGGGCTGTGAGTTAGTTGTTGGCAGTGCCTCGACTAAACACCAGAACAGCTGAAGAAGTTGCTCATGGTAATGGTCAGAGTCGATGATGTTGTTGCTGTTTCTGCTGCTTGTTCTTGTTGGATGTGCGCGGTTGGCTCCATTCAGCACACTCAGAAAAATAAATTGCTATCAAATGAAAATCGCCCTAAAATATTAAGACTGTTTACTGTTTTTAGAAATATAGAAATATTAGAAACTATATTTCTAAAACTTAGAAAGGCTTGTTAAGATATGCATTTTTAAGAAGTAGAAATCCAAATCCTAATAAAATTCAAAAACAAATAATGAAATTTTTTAGTTTGGCTTTTAAATCGACGTTTAGCTGATGTTACAAAAGAATGTTTATTAAATAATATTAGTAACAAAAAACATTGAAAACAACAAACTGGAAATTAGACATATTTTTAAAATTGTATTTAAAATCCACACTGAGATTTAGAAATGCTAAGCTTGGTTTAGAAATGCTAAGCTTGGTTTTTAGAAAGCTACAACCTTCAATGGCGATTTACTAAAATTCTGGACGATTTTGTCTAAGTGTAGTAGCTGCTGGCCAGAACCCGATATCGTCTAGGAGGATGCGAGTTTTCGCATTTTGCGGTTACTTTTGCTAATAAATTCGTGCTGGCTTATTGATATTTATGATTAGCCCCGGAAATTGTGCTCATGTCTGCCCCCAAACAAACATATATCGTTACAATAATGTTAATCGGCGATGGAATGAATGGCACCTCTCAAAACCTCTCGCAGTCTCAAGTCTGCTTCCTGCTTCTGATTCCAATTGATTGCCATTCGCCGAGGCTTCAAATCGTGTTTCGATTTGTGTGGGTTAAGTGGGTCAATTCAATGACAAAAGGGTGGCAACTCTAATTCACCCAACAGATTTTTATTAGTTTTGCCACAAACCACAAATAAATAACAGCAATAAGCAATAATTTACGAGTTTTTATGCAAATTCTGAAATAGTTTAAGCCTAATTTGATTGCGCAATCTGCGACGAACCTTTATGGAAATTAATGGAGAATTTTAACGAGTTAGAAGTGAATCGGAATTGGTTGGCAGCAAAGGGCTTAAGCGAATAGCCTTAAGCTGCTAATAAATGTACAATATTTATAGTAAAAGGTAACTTTTATTATTATGCTTACACTTGGCGCTCAACATTTATAAATGTATTAAGCAATAACTGTCTTAAAATTAGTATTATTATTGAGTGCACATCATATAAATCAATCTGTTAGAACTATTTGTTAATCTTATAATCTTCCATTAACCCTAGGTCTTAAAGAAATTCATGTCCAGTTGAGGGTTTATTATGTCCTCAGAGTTGATAACATGTTCCCCTACACTCGGAAACAAATTCGAATGATTATATTTAGTTTAATTGACTTGTTATATAAAAATATTATTTCCCATATTTGTTTGGCTTATGTGTCTCTATTTAGATTCATTCAAAGTGGTTTTGTACATTGCAAACGTTGTAAAATATTACAAAATATATATTTCTGGCTTATAATTGTGACATAAGTGCTATGCACTAAAAATAAAACAAGCCCAATCAATTCATAAATGAAAAAGCTTTTAGATAAGCATGGTTCCAGGTAGTGCTTACAAAATTGAATAGTTTATTTTTTAATGCCGTGCTGGCCACAGAAATAAATGACAGCCAAAGGTCTTGACCGATGACTGGCTTTTATAAAAAGAAAAATAAACCTCTTTTCAGCCCACGCCAAAAGTTGACTGTTAAAAAATACAAATTAAAACTGCAAAAATTGAGAAAAAAACCGAATTTCAATTTCGCATACGATTTTTCAACGTGTTTTTTTTACAGGCTTTCAATTTCAAATGCGATAAACGACAACAACAAGAAAAACATCTGCCAGTGGCTGTCACAATAATCGCAAAAGATTGCATCGTGCCCCCCAGAGGAGAGTAAAAAGCGAGAGAGAGATAGATAGACAGAGAGAGAGAGAGAGAGGAGGCGATCAGTATTCACATTCATAATCAAATTCAAGACCAAACCGAAATCGATTTCGACTTCAACGATCAACGCTTTGGCACATTTGGCCTTTGGGCTCTTTTATGCCTGTTTTCCGATATCATCTCGTTGTTGTTATTTTTGTTTTTCACTCTGTATTTGTTGTAGTGGCAATTAAATTGCGAAATAATCATTTTTATTGCTCGCTCGCCAAATGAAATGAAAATCAATTGGCGTGCTTTATTGTATGCGCCCTGGCAGAGTATAGAACAGGGTATTAACGATATATTATTATATTTGACACAAGCTTTTAAAGGGTAATATTATAGAATTTACATTTTGCAAACTGAACACAATACATATTAGTTTAGAACTTCATAAAACAATCTAACAATCAATCAATTTAAATTATCTTTTTGCTTTTATTAGTAAACCTAATACATTTGATTATCAAATAAATAGAGAGGGTATTTAATGATCGTTGCCACTGTTTTAAGTGTTTCTCTTGTGTATTGTTATATGTGTGCTTAGTTATATATAATATTTCTTTTTGTTATAGACGACAGCTTGTTAATTTGGCGTTTATCCAACTGCGGCGTCTGCGACATCTGGGCGTGAACAGGTCGCAATAATTGGCAACAGCCAACAGTCAACTGGCAATTGGCAACAGGCAACAAGCAATTGGAAATTGGCTTTCCCATAATAACTGAAAAACTGAGTGAAATAAAAAAAAAAAAGACGAGCGCATTTCGAGACCTTCGAGACGTTCATTGACCCATCGAACGTACCGCGTGTGTGTGTGTGTGTGTGTGTGTGTGGGTGGGTGGGTATTGTACTAGCATCTGTCCCCTATACACCAACACCCTCTACTCCCTCCCCCCTCCACCCCTACCACGACTCTCTCTCTCTCTCTCTCTTTCTCTCTCTCTCTCT